GTGAGCCGGACGGCCAGCTTACACTCCAGCACCTGCTCTTCCTAGCAGTGGAATGAAGGTCAACGGACTGTGTCAGTCTGGGAACTTGAATAGCCTCTTCATGAGTATCAATTTATTTCGCAGAGTATTGCTTCACAAATGGATAATATTTGTATCAACAATGAGCCCAGACACTGATTTTCTACTACCTGAGTACTAGAAAACAGGGATATGAAGACTATCCATATGCAAATAGCACCTCTACTGGGCCTCCTAAATAGGCATAATCAACATTCCAGACCATCTACCATCCCCCAGGCCCCAAACTATCTTCTGCAATATTTCAGTGTTATTGCTGACTTTTTTTTTCTTTTTCGGTCACACCCGGCGATACACAGGGGTTACTCCTGGCTCTGCACTCAGGAATTACCCCTGGCAGTGCTCAGGGGACCATAAGGGATGCTGGGAATTGAACCTGGGTCGGCCGCGTGCAAGGCAAACGCCCTATCCGCTGTGCTATTGCTCCAGCCCCTGTTTTTATTTTGGGACTATGAGGAGGGAGAGGAACATATTCAATCAAGAATGCTGGCTTCTCTGGAGGTGCGGAAGGGCATTTCCAGGGGTAACCCGTAAAACAGAAGAAAGGAATTATATACCCCAAATTGAGATGTGGGAGACCTCAGAATGGGGGTGTGTCTAAAAGCTATTTTATTTAACTGGCAAATAACATTTAACATGAAATCTGCTCTTTTATATATTTTTTAACTGGGGGCCACGGGGGCATCACTGAGGGTGGAGGAGGCAGGCAGTGACAGGAATCAAACTCAGGGCCTTGCCCATGTGAGTCACCATGCATTTGAACCATTTCCTGACCCTCCAAGCAGTTCAAGAAAATGATTTCAAAGCAAGGAATGTTATGGGCTGAAAAGACAGACAGCAAGTACTTGTCTTGCAAGCAGCTGACCCAAACTCAATTCCTGGCACCATATAGGGTCCCCTGAGGGTTGCCAAAAGTGATCCCTGAGCTAAAAGTAAGACTTGAGCACAGATGTGCCCCACAAACAAACAAACAAACAAAAACCCTTAATCTGAAGCAAAGAATTTTGCCAGTATTTCTTTGTCAGGTAGTTTTAGAAAAGGTTAATTTCACTTATCCATGTTAATGTCAGATTATGGATTTTTAATGATTTGTGGAAATTTCTTCCTGAATGTTTAGATTTGGAAGTCTAATGCCAGAAGATAGGTTGTCATAATGTTTGCACTTCCTTCATTTAAAAAAAGGATCCTTCATGTAAAAGGGTTATGCTAGATGATTAAAAGGCACAAACAGAACCATGGTCCCTGATTTTCCTCCATTGGCAGGAGTGGGATTTTAACTTTTTCTCTAAAATACTGTAGCACTGTCCTCCCGTTGTTCATCGATTTTGCTCGTGCGGGCACCAGGAATGGCTCACAACAAATTGTGAGACTTGTTGTTACTGCTTTTGGCATATAGGATATGTCAGGGGGAGCTTGCCAGGCTTTGCTGTGCGGGTGAGATACTCTCTGTAGCTTGCTGGGCTCTCAAGAAGGGCAGAGGAATTGAATCTGGGTCGGCGCATGCAAGGCAAATGCCCTACCCGCTGTGCTATTGCTCCAGCCTGTTCTCTAAAATAAGAGATGTATTTCATGCTCATTCCACAGTCTGATGCCTCTGCTCCTCTTTTACATCCATTTGGGGATAGAATTAACCACTGAACCCCTCAGCTTTTTGGGGTTTGGAGTATCAAGGAGCCTGGCCCCTTTCCTGATATCAGACAGACAACACTGGATGGCGGGAATCAGAAATTAAGGGGGTTCCCCTCCTCTTCTCTGTACCCATGGGATACTGAAGACCACAGCACCCCACTAATGGGCTATAATAATCACCAAAATTTAAAGCAGGGCATTTTGAATGGTTGGTGCCTTAAAACCACTTTGCTAAAACGTCTCACTCTGTTTTTCTATTACCAAATAGTCCCTGTGGTAGCCCTGCATGAGCTCAGAGGCTCGACCCAGTGTCCCAAGGGATACTGGAGTGGGACACTGGGAAGTAGCAAGAAGAGCTCTGAATGGGGTGGATTTAGGGACGGTGTAAGATTTCTGTACACGTTTCTTGGTAATGAAAACATTTAGGAGCAGAGAGAGCAGGGAGATTAAGACATGCCTTGCATGCAGCCACCCCGGTTAGATCCCCAGCATCACGTGGTGCCCCCAAACATCCCTGTAACAAAATGCCCCTTGGCAACTATCGAAAGCAAATAGCAAGGGCCTATTTTTATTTTTTTTAATTTTTATTAGTGAAACACCATGCGGTACAGTTGTAGACTTACAAATTTTTGTGCTTGGGTTTCGATTATACAATGATCAAATACCCATCCCTCCATCAGTGCCCATTTCCCACCACCATGGATCCCAGTATCCCTCCCACATCCCATACCCCCATCCCACCCTGCCTCTCTGGCAGGGCATTCCCTTTTGTTCTCTCTCTCTTTTTGGGTGTTGTGGTTTGCAAAAGAGGCAATGGGTGGCAATCATGTTTGGTCTATAGTCTACTTTCAGCATGCTTCTCCCATCCTGGGAAGATCCTCCCAACACCCTTTATTTGGTGCTCCCTTCTCTATCTGAGCTGCCTTTTCCCCTAGCATGAGCAGCTGGCCTTCAAGCCATGGAGCAAACCTTCTTGTACTATCTTGACTATGCAAAGGCCTATTTTCAAAGCTGAGTCAATGTGGGGCAAACACTTGGCTACGTTTTGAATATTTTTGCTTTTCTGGGACCACACCTGGTGTTGCTCTAGGTTTGCTCCTGGTTCTGTGCTCAGGGATCAGTCCTTATGATGCTGTGGACTGGTGCTGGGGCATAGTATTGGGTGCTGGGATTGGAATCTGTGTCTGCCAGGTGCAAGGCAAGCGCTATACCTGCTATACTATCATGCCGGCCCCAAGACACACTATTTTTAGCCAATATGATCCCCATCATCTCCAAGTCTACTGACATATAATGGCATTAAGGGAAGAATTTTTACCACAGTCTTTGTACTATGTGTCACCTACTATTTCCACATCACAGATGAAAAACGAACCTTCCTCTTCAGCACAAGTCATATACCCTTTGATGTTTTCTTCTCTTATCCCCTAGTATCATTTTTTATGAGACAGTGCTCAGCCAGAAACACAAAATGAATAACAAAGTCCAGCCTTTAATAGTGTCACTTAACAAGCCTTTAGCACATAGTAACTAGGAAGTGCTAGTATACACACACACACACACACACACACACACACACATACATATTTATTTATTTCAGGGAAAGCTTTCAGATGATGCCAGAATTAAACCTTCTTATTGTGGGATGGGGGCAAGAGAGGGGTTTGGGGCCATACTCAGTGGTGCTCAGGGATGATTCCTTGCTCTGTATACTCAAGAATCACCCCAGGCAGGCCACAAGGACCATATGTATACCAGGACTGAACCCAGGGCAGTCACATATAAGAAAATCACCCTGGCTGCTATACTATCTCTCTGACCCCAGAACTAAATCTTAAGAAACTAGCACAAGTTTCCTTGGTGGTAAGGCGGAAGGGGAAAGACATTTGGGAAACAAGGAGGTGGCAGGGGCCAGAACACAGCAGGCCAGGGTGGTAAGCTAAGTTTGGATGATACTATGCAGCGAGAATGAGCAACCACTGGAGGATTTGAAGACGACTAATAGGAACAGATATTGTTGGCTGAAAACTCAGCCAGAGGGAAACCACGGCTTGAATGCAGATGAACTCGTTAGGAAGCTATTATTGCCCTAATCTTGCTGAAAACTGGTGAAATAAAAATATGTCAGAGGCAGGGAAGATGGAGAACCGATGGAGGACCTATTTGAGACAATTTGAGCAATGATACGGCTCAACCACTGGGCATTTTGGGGTGAAATCCAGAGTCTAAGATTTTTTCCGAGCTTCCTTCTTCTAGTCTAGGCAATTATTTGGCCAGTGCTATCATTAAGCATAGCAGGGCGCACAGAAACCGCATACTGATTTTTTTTCCTTGAAGGGAGGTTGGGGAAGATGATGCGACCTTTTGGTGGAGGGTGGAGCATATACCCATGCAGGTATATGAATCAGTTGTCTAGACCCTGCATTCTTTTAGCGGGGGTTAAAGAAATTTTCAAGAGGGATGTGTACCTGGAAATTACATTTCGAGAGGAAAAAGGTCCACTGATTTTTTTTTAAATGACATTTTTCATGTTTAGAAAAGAAATGACACTGATAATACACAGGTACGCCATGCACTAGATGCCAAGCCGATTCCGCAGATCAATTTATTTCCTCTGGTAAGCTAAACGCAGGATTCCATGGGTTTCTTTCTCACACCACTTGTAAATAGCAGAGCACCCAGGGTTTAGATCTAGGAATTCCTTTCAGCAGAAGATGAGAAATGCGCCCTCCCGTGGTAGAGAAATGAGGGGGGGTCTAGCAGCCTTTTTACCACCAAACAAAGACCGGTGAAGAAATGCAATTTCGGGGGTTCAGAAGGCCATCACGCTCCTATGGCTAAAACCCGAAAAAAAAAATCAAAAGAACCCTTCTAGGGTCCGAGACCCCCTTACCTGTCACGTCGACCGAAGGACAATCTCACTTTCGACTCCACAAAACACGATTCCAGATGCGCTCGCCGGCTGCAGGTGCCGACGGGCGGCAATTAAATGCCCGCAAAGCCGAAGCACTAGGGGGGCTGCTTGCCTGCCGCCGAGGCCGGCTTCTACCACGTGGGTGGCGGGGGGCCGGCAGCAGCCACCCGGGTAGGGAGGGAAAGGGGGCGTGTCCCGACACGGGGCGTGGCCTGGCAGTGGGTGGGCCTTGTCTGTGGGCGTGGCCCTGGCGAGCCGGGCGGCGAGCCTCCGCTTCGCCTGCTGGCTCGCTCGCTCTCCGCGTTGCCTTCGCCCTTCGAGCCGCCACGTCATGCCACGTCCGCGCGCATGCGCAGCGCCCCGGCGGCCGGCGGAGGCTGTTTCCGGGCTCCTTGGGACTCTCGCGGCGGCCACCACCAGCGAGTCGGAGGCGGCGGCGGCCGAGGCCGCGGGGTTGCACGGGGCGAGCTCGAGAGGCCCGAGCCGCGGCGCTGAGGGGGAATTCTCTGTTTCGTTTCGCCAAGGGGCCGGGCGAGCCGGTGGCAGCGCGGCGAGATGAATTTCCTACGCGGGGTTATGGGGGGGCAGAGTGCCGGACCTCAGCACACCGAAGCCGAGACGGTGAGAGGACCCGCGACGCCGGGGCCGGGGCCGGGCTGAGACCGGGACGGACGACCTGTGGGAATGTGTATGTTGGGGGGGGGGGTAGTCCCGGAGGTGCCGCCCCGAGCCCCGCCGCGGCCCCCAGGGGACCCGCACGCCCCCCTCCCCGCTCCCGACGCCACCTCAGCCACCTCAGCCACTTCAGCGCCGTCCCCGCCGAGGCGCCTCCTCCCGGCTGTCACAGCAGCCGCGCCCCGCGGCCCCGCGACGCCCGGCGGGTGAGGGGGGGGGGAATCCCCGGGGGTCCCCCACCCCCCACCCCGCCGCCCCGGGAAGGAAGGGACCGATCCCGGGTGGGAGGTGTCCCGACCTCCTGTCCCCTCCTCGTCCCTGCTTCCCGGCGGCCGGCGGGAGCCCTCGGAGCGGGGCCCTGGGGACGGCTGCGACGGCTCGGGGCCACCCAGCTGTTTGCCCCGGGGGGCCGGCGGGCTGGGGGCACCCGGGCCACCTGCCCCTGTCTATCCCGCTGGAGGGAAGCCTGTTCTGCAAGGTGCTCCCGTGCCGGTTTTTATTTTCCCTTTCTTTGCCCAGATCTATGCCATTGGGGAAATAACTCGTTTCGACGACGTTGCATAGATAGGAATCTTTCTCGAGCCAGATTCCCTCTTGGGGACCACCCCCTCCCGACTTTCCCTTCCACTCACCCCAGTGAGAAGCCCCTGAGTCGGTACTCATCGCTGGGGACGAGATTTTGCAGCACCAGTTTCAAATATATATGTGTGTGTGTGTGTGTGTGAAGCGCGCGTGTGTGTGTGTATACATGTACACATGCATATATTGATTAGCCACTGCGAACAGTATTTCAAGATGATCCTTAATTTTAGATTTCGGGTAGAGTTCACTTTGAAGTTGGGTTTGTGTTCTGTTGGAAACGGAGGTGTTGGACCGACCTTTTAAACCCCTTAATAAATGCTTTGAGAAGAAATGGAAAACCTACAGAAAAATGACTGGCATTTAAAATGTAAATTTGGGGTAGTATGGATACACATAACTGGGATGCCTGGGAACAGAGATCCTGTGTTCGGTGTTATTGGGGTCCTGAAGGCATCGTTTGTCAGACTCTTACCTTGTGCGGGTACTGTGTTGAGTTCCTTGTGGTCCATCGTTCTCCTTTAATTCGTAAGAACCCCCGCAGGATCAGGGATAGTAAGTATCCGCGCTCTCCAAATGAAGAAAAGATGCTTGGATTTGAAATACTATGCCCAAGGTCACACAGCTAGCAGTAGAGCCAGGATCCAACCAGGGTTTGCCTTACTTCAGAGCTGTAGCTATCTTGCTCATTTTACTGTTTATGCTTGCATTGCTCTCTGGGAAATCCGGAAATTTAGAGATTATTAAAATTAACTGCAAAGATCTAGATTAGAACTGAAGTTGATTAGAGCAGAACTGATTAGAGCAGAAGTTGAAAACTGGTGAACCTGTTTTCGGTGTTTTCAAGAGTTCGGCATTTTCTCAGCACACATAAAATTAATATCTGGCTTCTCTCATCCTTTCCCACCCACTACAAGTTTCATTACCCTACTAGAGCATCATGCTCCCCCCAGATCACTGTAGTCATAGCCTACCTCAAGCTTTTATTCATTGACTCTACCTCTACCTAATTTTTGAGACACCAAGTTTTTAAGTGTTAATTATTACATTAGAGTTGTTGTTATTATTAGACCTTTACCCTTGCCTTTGCTCTTAATTTGCAAGGGGGTAGTATATAACCTCTGAGTAAAAAGAAATTATTTGCTCCTAAGGAAGCAATGTGGAATAGGGAAGATAATGTGAAATAGAACCAGGCTCTTACTAGGTGCTCAATAAAAGTCTTTTTTTGGGGGGGGAGGGGGGCTTGTTTCTTACAGAATAATTTTGTTGTTGTTCATTTGACTGTGACAATGACTTTTGTTTTTGTTTCTTTTGAACCACACCTGATGGTATTAAAGGCTTACTTCTGACTCTATGCTCAGGGATCACTCCTAGAGTGGCTCAGGGGACCATAGGGGGAGCCTCAGACAGTGCCTTAGCTGTGCCTTGCTCAGCAAGTGCCTTACCTGCTATACGGTATCTCTGGCCCCCATAATGACTTTTGTTGGAAAGACTAACTGTTGAGCATAGAGTTTTAAAGATGAAAGGTCCTTTTTCAGATGATCCATTTTGCAAGTTAGGAACCTAAAGCTCCATAGTAAAGCAATTCACACAAAATTTAGATCTGAGATCAAGTTTTTCAAAGTAAATGGTTTTTGCTCTCATGATTTCACAGTGAAACTTTAGTATCACTTGTGCACATCTGTGTTCAAGTCCTTGTTCTTGCATAACCTGGAGCATGTTCACTCAAAATTGGAAAAGTGATTGGTCTTCTGAGGTTTATTCTGAGTTACAACATAAGTAAAATTCGTTTTACCTTCATTTTATCCGAAGGTATAATAAATATGAGGGATCATGGGCCACTAATTTAGAAGTATTTATAGAGCATCAGTAGAGTGTATAGGATGGTATTAGATGTTTAATTAGTAATTTGATCTGACCTTGATATTCTAGTTGGCAGAGCTTATACGCTTATACTCTCTTGACTTTTACATATCATAATATTTTGGGTTTTTTCCATGTCTGTAAAAAGTAAATTATCTTCATTGAGATTTTCCATCTGCCATGCTTTTTCCCATTTTTTCCCATGGAAAACCTTTTTTTCTGGGGGGTGGGGGGTCCACATCCGGCAATGCTCAGGGGTTACTCCTGGCTCTGGACTCAAGAATTACTCCTGGCGGTGCTCAGGGGACCATATGGGATGCTGAGATTCAAACTATGGTCAGCTGCGTGCAAGGCAAACGCCCTATCTGCTGTGCTATAGTTCCAGCTCCCCGAATACCATTTTTTTAAATCTGAAGTGTACCTTTCCTTTAAAACCATCATCAAGAACTTCATCTTTCTCTCCTCTCCCCCCCTCCCCACCCCACCCCGTACTAAGCTTGATTTTTATCAAAAATACATTGCAGGAAAGGTGCTAGGGCTTGGCTTCAGCACCTCCTAAAGTGAGAAGCATGTGCCCTACCACTGAGCAACATCCCCACCTCGGAATTATGCATCCTTGTGCTTCCTGCCATTTTCTCCATTTGTACTTGTCTCAGCCTTCTGGACTGTAAAGTTTCTTCAGATAGGATTCATATGTATTTTAATTTTTACTTTTTCGTAGTAGGACTCAATAAATATTTGTTAATTATTGCATATGAAAGAAATTGCAGATCTATAATCGTAGCAGTTTACAAATGATTATGTGCTGAAACAGTACCTTTTTTTTTCTTAAGACCATAGGAAACAAAGTTCAGAAATGATTCAAGATGCTTAAGACTTTTTTCCTAAAGGGATTTTTTTAGATTTACCACTGCTTTGATTGCTCACCGGACTTTTCTTGACAAACAAGTATCATTTAAGTGTATGAGAATCATTTATTAATAGTTCAATACCTACCTTTTCATGCTTCTACTTAGCAGTAACTTTGGACTAATATTTTTCAGAGACAAATATTTTTCAGAGACTAATATTTTTCAGTGTTTTCAGAGACAGAGCAATGCGTTTTTATTTGTATCACGTAACAGCCAATTCTATATATTTTGGATATTCAAAACCTAGAATTTTATCATTATGAAGCATTTTATATATTAAACTCAAATATGTTATTAATTTGACTTCTCTTTTTAACTTTAGGTAGAGAAAGGGACCAGTTTTGATAATCAGAGCTTCCTTAGTCCTTTGATGGCTACAAATAGGAGCTCATTATAGTGAAAATTCCATTCTTTGAATGCTTAAATTTTCATCTACCTTCAACTAATACCTTTTATAAAAGCTAGTTTCTTGAAAATTTCCAGAAAAGTATTAGCTGCATGCACTGATAAATTATGGCGGGAGGAGAGGGTTTCTGTTCTCAAGTTGAATGCCAACCTTGGCACAGAAGTAGCATAAGTCCAGAAAAAGTACGAAGCATTACAGTGTTATGGTCTTTTTTTAGATCAAACTTTGATCAGCTGTTCAGAAAGTAAAAGGGCTAACAATATAGCCACAGATGTCCTTTTCTGTACTGCAAATTATTTTCAGCATTATGTGCTTGGTTTTGGGGTGGTAAAGCACATTTTATACCAAGATTATCAGTGTATATTCTAAAGTTCCTTTTTGAGGTTTTTGTTTGTTTGGTAATTGCATTAATGACAGGTTCTGTGTCATGACTTGTTTTCCTTTTTTACTTGTCATGGCCCGCTTGCAGTAGCTGTCAGAGAAAAAGCATTAAAATGATTTGTGTTTGGGGTCCAAAGAAATAGATCAGCAGGTAGGCATTTACCTTGCACATGCCAGACCCAGGTTTGATCTCTGGCATCACATGATCCCAAGAGCCTACCAGAAGTGATCCCTGAGTGCATAGCCAGGAATAAGCCTTGAGTACTGCTGGGTGTGGCCCCAAACCAAAAATTAAAATAAGTAATTTTTTTAAAGATTTGTTTACGTTATAGTCAACCAAAAATATTCTTTCTACATTTGTCTATTGAAAGCATGGTGTTTTTTGGTTTTGTTTTGTTTTGGGCTACACCCGGCAATGCTCAGGGATTACTCCTGGCTCTTTACTTAGGAATTACTCCCAGTGGGACCATTTGGAATGCTAGGGATTGAATTCAGCTTGGCCAGTGAAAGGCAAGTGCCCTACCCACGGGGTTTGAATTCCATCTCATTACCTACTAGTTTTGTGAATTTTGTGTAAGTTGCTAACCCACGTGCCTCTTGTTTCCTCACTTCTAAAATGTGACCAGGAGCAGCACTTTATGTCTAGAGTTTTTATGAAGGTTAAATGAATTTTTTAAAAATGAAGAATTTTAGAATCAGAGCTGGCATTGAAGAGCTTATTAGCTTACTTCTCGCTCAGGGCTCACACTTGGCACTGCACAGGGAATCGTGTAGCTCCAGGGGTCCAACCCAGGCTTTATGCTAGC